TATATATATATATATATATATGTGTATATAATATATATTACAATACATACATACATACATATATATATATATATATATATATATATATATATATATATATATATATAAATATTCACACACACACACACACACACACACACACACACACACACAACACACACACACACACACACACATATATATATATATATATACTATATATATATATATATATATATACATACATATATATATATATATATATATGTATATATATAATACGGATATATTAATCATTCAATATTGCAGAAAGAAATATGAAAACTACATACCCGTTAAGGTGCTTTCTTTGGTCATCAACAAACTCGCACAGGAATTGCCGCTACCCTGCCAAGAAAGTGTCCATATATTGTCGGCTTGTTCCTGCCCTTCTTGTATCTCGTCGTCATCGCAAGTACCAGTCTGCGAGACGACCATGTGTACTACAGCATAAAGGACATAAAACTTGGTGTACGTGTAAAGTGAAGGCATGGTGATTATATGTTCACTTGTTGTCGTCTTACATATACATATATACACATAGATTTATAAATAGATATGTATATCCACAACAAGTTGAAAGCTCAACAAGAGGGGAGAATACACAAAACATTGTTCAGACACATACAAACTTAGTTAAACATGCTTTATTAGGGTATGCTGCCTATGGTTTGACTATCCTGTGAGTCTGAACACTGATCAGTGATGCCCATCAGCCACGCTTTCCAATGGCAATACATATAGAGTATTCCTCAGGGCCTTCCCCTTCACATCAATCCATTATCGGAGTCTATTTTAACATTTAAACGTAAACATGTATTCGATTTGTATGCTGTAAACGTTTATACTGGTCGAAAGACAAAAAATATATATTTGACCTATAATTTGATTTCAGCGAACATCCTGTATAATTAAATTGTAATGATTAACCTCAGGTTTCAGACTATGCACCCAGAGCAACATCCCAAGGGCCATCATCAGGTAAACGTTGAAACGTTATTATTTTAAACGCGTATATGTTTCCATGCAAAGCGTATTATCTTTCTCAGCTTATAAATAGTATAGCTCGTTAGAGCTTATTTAAACTTTTTTTGTTGTTGCTCATCTGACATTTGAGAGTATTTATGGATAAACGGTTTTTTTAGAATTAGAAGTC